TAGTTGTGACGTGACATGTGTGGCCAAGTATGGTGACCTATACTCGGAATTAGTGCTCTGCATTTATCCCATCCAAAGTGCACACACACACAGCAGTGAACACACACACCGTGAACACACACCCAGAACAGTGGCCAGCCATTTTTTGCTGCGCCCGGGGAGCAATTGGGGGTCCAGTGCCTTGCTCAAGGTCACCTCAGTTGTGGTATTGAAGGTGGAGAGTCGAGACTGCCAGTACGAGACTCGAACCCACAACCTTGGGTTACGAGTCCAACTCTTTAACCATTAGGCCACGACTTGGTCTTGTCCATGTACATGGCATGGAGCACATCTGCCATGTAGCAATGCTCACTGGTCTTGGTCAACTCAAAGTGGAGTTTCAGTTCTTCCCATTGGTCCAATATACGTGTTACCGCAGGCTCAATTGATAGCCAACGTGTGGCACACACTTTGGTGATCTGCAGGGGTTTCTGACCACAATTAATGGTGGCATACATTGCTTTGTATGCCTCTCGCCGTTTTGGGGAAATCGAAAACCTGTTGTAGGTTTCCCTGATTAAGTATTCAACACATCTATGTCACGGTTCATGGGTTCACTGACCCATTTTCGCTCGTTGATTTGTGAGCACAGATCTGCGCTCGTTTCTACGTTAGATTGATAAATGAGGCCCATTGTCTTTAGCCTTGCAGTTTGTGTTTCTACAGCGATCTTAAGAATTTATGCTCATCTTGAATTAAGTCTGCAGTCACTACTGCTCTTTAGATTTGAGTCCCTTTTCAAAAGTTGCTAAAAGTAGCCAAATAAATGTTAAAAATGGCAAAATTTGTTGCTAGGTGCTTTTTGAAAAAAAGTTGCTAGGGTAGTCTGAAAAGTTGCTAAACTTTGGCAACACTGGATTGACAGTCAAAGCAAACCGCGGTTTGAACGGCCAGCCCCCGCAGCTGAACTGGAAGTTTTTATTGGTTTTGCACCCGAGTCAGACCTGTCTGTTATTGGCTGAAGCGCAGGGCTCCACACTCTCCATCCGTTTCTCCATCGGCACCTTCTTTGTCCTATTTTTATTTTTTTTGTACTTTGTACTTTTGGTGAAAAACAAATGTAGCGAAGTTGAATACTTTAGTTTTATTCTACTCAAGTAAAAGTAAAAGTACCACAAATAATTATACTCAAGAAAGTAGAAAAAATGTACTCAAGTACTGTAATGAAATTATTTCTAATTAGTTACTTTCCACATCTAGCTGCCATATTCTGTTCATGGCACTGCTGTTGGCATTAGTGTAGAATCCCAGAATTCCCTACAGAATGGCATTTTTTGATCATCTTTACAAGGATATCTTCTTATAAACATACAGAAACTACTGACTTTGCAGCAAATCTCCACAACTAATTCCATCACAGCACTGTTTGTTGTTAAGCGATCACAGCTTATTAATTAGCCTGATTACAGAACTGGTGGGAGTATGGACACACTGATATGTTCACAGCCAAAAATCACAACCGAGAAAAGAAGCGACTGCAAGTGTGCTGAGACAGTCGCAAAAATGCAGAAACTTTTATCAGAATCAGAATTAGCTTTATTCGCCAGGTGTGCGCAAACACACAAGGAATTTGTTGTTTTTTATGGCATACAAAGTAAAACTATGTCCAAACAGACACATATTAATGCGATTACATGAACAGAAAAAAAAACTAAAGTCTTGAGATGATAATGGAAAAGACTTTCTATTGTTCCATTAAAAGCATTTTTGTTTTGTATTTAATAAACACTCTTATATAAAATTAAGGTATGTCAAATGCCTGTAAGCTCTCTTTAAAATGTTGTTTTTGGCCTACACATATCTTGACCTACCTTGAAGTGCGTCTTGATCTTTTTGACTTTATCCAGCATTTAACATCATACAACAGTGTCATCATTTTGATATAATCTGTTGAACTGATATTAAATTCATTCATTCATTCATTCATTCATTCATTCATTTTTAACAGCATAATGGGAAAACAACTAAACAGTCTAGTTCCATCTTTTCAATTTTTACAAACTAGCTAGACAGCTTAATTTAAGCTATATTTTTAACCCTGTTACTTTTGTCCTGTTACCCTTTTTCTGTAATTGTTTAATTGATCGATTGATTCATTCATTCATTCATTTGTTTGCTCATTTACTTTATACATTTGGCCTATTGACCCCTGGTTTCACAGACCAGTCTCAGTCTTAAGTCTAGTCCCAGACTAAAATGCATGATTTGAGCTTAAACTAAAAGAAACATGCACTGACTGATTTTAAAGGATGTCAGTGCCTTTGTTTTGTCTCATATATTGCTATCAAGGTTACAAAAATTGCAAACCTAGCATAATATTAATAAAAAATAAAACCTCATATTCTTAATTTGCCACCTCGTGGTTGGCAGTCCACGCTTTCTAAATGTCAAGCACTTACTTTTGCTCACCGTTCATAGAAAATAACACAAACAAATCCTTTTTTTTGTTGATAATTTCAGGCCCTGATTTGTGCAGTATTTGTGGAAAGTGTAGCAGGTTTCAGGCTGATGTGTAGTTACAGTAGATGTGTGCAGTCATTAACAGTATTGCATGTCTAATTATTATATCCGGTAGTGCAGTAGAGAGAGTGTCCTTAGAGTAAATGACTTGTTTAAGAAGTGCTTTGATTTTTCTTCCCCCTCCTCAGTTTCACATCTGACTTCTCCAGATAATTTGACACTTTTTTTTATCCGTCATGTTTCTGTTGCTTGTTTCCATCGAGTGGATTAGAAGTTATGATATGTGAAAGATGCTTGAAATGTGCATAATCTTCCAATTAAAGTCATTTAAATGCAGTTATAATTCATCCTAATGTTTTGTTCCTGTTGTTTTAATTATTTTTTAATTTTTGGGAAGGTTACTGCTTTATGTGCTGCACTGAGTAAGTCTTGAAGTGTCAAGGTAGTGTTTGTTTGTGTTCATTAACAGTGTCCAACAGAGCATGCAGATAGCTCTCATGTGCATGTGGAACAAGAACAACTTGTGAAATTTAGATGAACTCTGACAGCAAGCAGCAGTCTGTAATTATACCTCTCAACATTGTGTTCTATCATAATCATTTTCTCCGTTTATGTATTTTGGTGTGCCATCTCCTTCCTTGCCATCATCACTGTGGTTTTTGGCACCTTTGCGCTGTCAGAATGAAAAATTAATGTGAAATTTCGTTTCCTGTTTCCAAATGCATCCATTACCTCGGTATGGGGGTACCACCTTTTCAGAATTCTCTTCAGAAAAGAAACCTTGGCTGAACTGTGGAAGAGCCAGTCTCACGTCCAGTCTCACGTCCAGTCTCACGTCCCTCACAAAAGAGAGAGCTCATTTGTGTCTTTCACTCTCAGTGACTTGTTAGTGATTCTGCATTCGGTCCATAGCTTTAAGGTCCAGAGCCTCGGCCACTGCTGCAGGGGAGAGATGAGAAGCTTCAAAATGGTTATGCAGATGGACGGGAAACTCCCCATGCCCATGTGGATTTGCAGTTGGGTCGACCAGCGTGGAGACATAGTCAATCAGACAGGAAATGCAGATGATTCAGTGGCAGTGTTGAGCTCATAGCCTCATAATGTTGGTTTGATTGTAGTCTTTTGCATAAAGTGCTCCACATTGCAGCTCATGCTGCTCAAGAACTGACTACTTAGAATGGAACAGACTATCTGACTAAAAATCTGTGCTATACTTTTCAAAAGTGTGGGGTCGGAAAGATGTGTTAATATTTTTTAAAGAAGTCTCTTATGCTCATCAAGGCTGCATTTATTTGATAAAAAATACAGTAAAAACAGTAACATTGTGAAATATTACAATTTAAATAACATTTGAATATGGTAATATAATAATATATACTGTAATGTATATATCAATTTATATAATACACATAATAAAAGATTATAATCTATTATTATTAATACATTTTAGAATATAATTTATTCCTGTGATGGCAAAGCTGAATTCTCAGAAGCCATTTCTCCAGTCACATTATCCTTCAGAAAATATTGTAATATGCTGATCTGATGCTCAATAAACATTGAATTCTTATAATCAATGTTGAAAACAATTGTGCGACTTAATTTTTTTTTTTTAATTGTGATTTAATTTTTTTGAGGATTCTTTGGTCAATGGAAAGTTTAAAAAATATATATATAAATATTTTGTAACATTATAAATGTCTTCACTGTCACTTTTTAACAATTTGATGCATCCTTGCTGAATGAAGTATTAATTTCATTTGAAAAAAATCTAACTTTTCCTAAACTTGACCAAAGTGTAACCCTGTTTTTATATAGTCTATGGTGTAACCTCTGTTAGTTTTGTCTTTAAGTGCCATTTAAGGGTGGTTAAAACTGACTGTCACAACAAATGTGTTGAAGAAACAACTTTAAAAAATGATTTTTGTGGTTGTGGTAGTCTCCCAACACCAAAAATTATCCTCAGGTGTCTCTGACCGCATCAACAACAGCTCTGACTGCACTGGAGAACCAGGCCTTATGCTGGGTTCAGACTACACAATATTTTTGTCGGTCACGATAGTCACTGTGTCAGATTACACGATTTTGACTCCTAAAATCTAGTCGTGTCCTGGACAAGAAACATGTCAGGCTACACGTTGCTTCCCAACCATTCATCCCATGCCATCTTTAACGACACACGTGATGTCATCGAGAAGGCGGAACTAGCGACTGACTTCCGAAAACAAGAGTGTAAACATTGCTGAAGCGCTTCCGCTATAGTTCACCAGCATTTTTCTTTCTTTGTTCTGTCGTGGTAGTCCCTCGATGACACATCATACAGGCAGGAGTACTGTTGCCACAGCTCCACAAACCCTTCCTCTATCTCATAATTCCACCTAGCAGCACCATGATCTCTCTTTCGTTTTGCCATGTTTGAAACCTGTGTATGTGTCATAAAGCAAGGCCAGACACAACGGGTAAGTGAAAGACAGGATGGTTTATTGATACAGGATGTGGAGGAGTGGAACGGGTTAGGTTAACCCTTTAGGCGCCAGGTTTTTTTTTTTTAAGGATTTTGACATCAAGATTTCAAAAGCTTGTGGCTTGAAAGGGCTTAAAGATAGAGATCTACTGTAAATTAGAAAAATGTTGCGCATGACCGAAAGTTTATGTGGGGTGTAAATATACTCATCTAATTAGCATATTATGACGTCACCAGGAGTCATCAATTATAGGCCCTCTTGAATGTTATAATATTCATGAAATAATAGATATTTAATTGATGTTTGAACTTATTTGCATGTTTTTTTTTGTCTTTTTATCTTCATTCCAAATGATCAGAAAAGAGGAAACCAACAATAAAATGAAGTTCCTTAACGTAAGTTAGGGAGGAGCGAGCCCATCTAATCTTTCAATCAACAGCCAGAGTATATCAGCAGCTGCTTACCTCTCTCCAGTCGCAGCTGTTCCAGCATCCCTCCACCTCCCCAAAACTCCACCTTCATCTTAGGTACCTTGCCCTTCGTAGTCATCCTATATCAAGTCCCGGGGGGTATATCAGAGCTCGAGTTGAAGCTGCTTCATCGAGGGGACAGCAAGCCAAATAAGTTTACACACAATTTCCTTAAAGATTATATGGGCAAACGAACTCGTTAAACAGGAGAAAGTACTAAATTATTACTATACTATATAGTAGTAAAACGCATGTGAACAGTAGCCTACTTTTTGATCAGTTCATCAGTAATATTCAGGAAATAAAAGATATTGCCCTGCCACCCCCATCCCCGTTGGGCAAAGGGTTGAAATGATCGCAGTAGGGGTTCAATCTTCAACTGGCTGGCAGGAGCCGCCACTGACAGGTCACGTGACCTGCCAGTGGCTGGTGGCAGGTCACGTGACCTGTCAGTGGCTGGCTGGCTGGCAGTATGCCTTAACAAGATCCACTGGCTGATCAGTCAGACAGCCGCAAGAGCGCTCCGAGTTTAACGCGTTCTCTACCACTGTCTCTACAAGGAAATATATTATTTTATGATTATAAATATATTCTTATGGGTCTAGTCTTTTAATTTGTCGACATTTTATAGAGGCTTATTGCAAATAAGGTGCCCAAATGGCCGTGATCTCAACTGCCAGCTGGTTGTCGCTTCCACTGGCGGATCAGTCAGACAACCGCAAGAGCGCTCCGAGTTTAACGCGTTCTCTACCACTCTCTCTACAAGGAAATATATAATTTTATGATTATTAATATATTCTTATGGGTCTAGTCTTTTAATTAGATAACTAGATTGTCGCTTCCACTCGCGGCTCAATCCAGCCAGCCACGACAGTGGCAGCTCCTGCCAGCCAGTTGAAGATTGAACCCCCACTCAATGATCGCTTGTTTGTGCTTCGTGAACACACTCGCCTTGCACGCCGGCACCAGTGCGCTGCAAAGATGTACCGGGAGAAGCGCGATTATTAGACGACCGATCGTCATTTCCAAAAGGCAAATATTCCCCTTCAGAGTCAGAATCGGCGAATAACATTTGCAACACATCCTCACAGTACAACTTTTTATTAGCCATTTGGCGATTTTCTCTAACAAATCTCACATCTTACTCGCACGCTATGAACTGAACTCGAAAACTCACGAAAGCTCACTTGCTCTGCTACTTCCTCGAACACTTTGAATTTGAACGTGACGTAATTTTGGTCTAGAATCGAAGTACTACATGTCTGTCATCTAGTGGTAGGGAATACAAATGAGATATTACACCATGTTAGGAACTACAGTCTATTGGATTCAGTGGTGGAAAGAGTACTGAAAAAATATACTCAAGTAAAAGTACCATTAACTTCCAAAAAATGTAGTGTGAGTAGAGTAAAAGTACTGGTCCAAAAAAAACTACTTGAGTAAGAGTAAAAGAGTAGCCTATTTAAAAGTACTCATGAGTATTGAGTAGTGAGTACTGAGCTGTGGATTCTACCCCCTCATAATAAACGCTGTACACCGCAATTTATACATTTTAAAAACGTTGTACATTCTGTAATTCACATGATCTTGTTTGTCATAAAGAATATCTATCATCCAGCAGTTTTAATTTTGACTGCCAACTCTTTAAAATACATTAAAACATGGAAACAGTATTCAGTTGAAGAAAAGATTAAAGTTATTCTCAGTACAATCATCCCCATTTAAATCATAAAGTTTGAAAAAATTGATTTAAAACCATGTGTCAGGCCACTGAGACAGCATGCTGTTGTTGCACATAAAATATTAATGTTTAGAACAATGCAAATACAAACACCATTAGAAACTCATAGTTCAGCATCACACACCATGATATGGGTTAAAATGAGAGACCATTTCTCTCCAAAACGGTGCCAGTTTTAGTGTTTTGCAATAAAGAAATAAAAATAACTAAACTTGATAATTTGTTACAATTTTAACATAAATGCACATTGTTCTAGAAGGATGGCAAACGTGTGTCCCCCTCCCCCCCACCACCACTTTTAATATCACGTAAATTCGTCCCCCGCTCTTTTTCGGGCAAGTGTGTTTGCATAGAGGTTTTCAAGAGCCAGTGTAAATAAATATAGATTTAAATTCAGAGAGACAGGATAGTCTGTGCATGATTTGATGTTTTATTCGGACCCAGAATAAGGCGAGATGGAGCGCAGAACACTCCATGCAGTGTGTTTCATTCATACTCGAAGCCGGAGGGAGCTCTCGCGCACAAAGTCGTAGGAGGAAGGACAAAATCATCCAGCTATGGCTGTATGAAAACAGTTGTTTTCAGAAAAACAGAAACGTTTGGAAACATGAAGACATTAAACATACGATTGCGACAATATATGGTTTATTTGTGTTTGTCAAGTCATCTCCAGGTAATAAAGTATATGAACAATGCAGTGCTAACTAACATAGCATTTATTACAGTATAGAAACTATTCTGCCTTATTATGTGATAAAAAAAAGTGTTTGTAGTATATAAACAAATCATTATTATTGGTTATTGTCCAGCAGTTATCTGATTTCTAAGCCAATTAAAAGCTAGAAATTAGAGAACAATTAAAGTTGCCTATACACCAGTCAACAGTTTTTGATCAGTAAGATTTTTAATGTTTTTTTAAAGACGTCTCTTCTGTTCACCAAGCCTGCATTTATTTGATCCAAAGTACAGCAAAACAGTAACATTTTGAAATATTTTTTACTAGGCTATTTAAAATAACTGTTTTCTATTTGAATTAATTTTAAAATATAATTTATAGGGATTTCAAAGCTGAATTTTTAGCATCATTACTCCAGTCACACGATCCTTCAGAAATCATTCAAATATTCTGATTTGCTGCTCAAAAAACATTTATTATTATGATGATGTTGAAAACAGCCGAGTATAATTTTTTTCAGGTTTCTTTGAATAGAAACTCCAGAAGAACAGCATTTATTTGAAATATAAATCTTTTGTAACATTATAAATGTCAAAAGTAAACAAGTTCAGCAAGCAACAACGACTTATCCAAGTGACTGCTGCAGAACGCAGAGAGAGACGAGGCAGCGCAGATTGCCAAATTTCAGGCCGTGTAGATAGGCAAGCATATATACAAATCATTTAGTAAGCAGAAATCCAAAATTTACCTTAACATATTAAGTTAGAGGAAGATGCGACAGAATTGATGCTTGAAGAATGCGCTTCCAGCAGCCATGATAAACAGTTGGCGGTTAAAGTTTCCTATGCACAATTTGATTTGAGAAAGTCACGAGACCTTTTACTATCTCTCTAGCCAATCACGTTGATGGATAAAAAATAAAATTAAAATAAGCATGTAACACCACAAACGGAGTAAAAGTACCGATACATCACTTAAAATGTACTCAAGTAAAAGTAAAAGTACACAATTTTTAAACTACTCAAAAAAGTACAATTACTGATAAAAAGTACTTAATTACTGTAACATGAGTATTTGTAATTCTTACTTCACACCCCTGATTGGATTAAGAATGACGTCTTGTCGCAATTTTGGTGCTAAGAGGGTTAAGGCAGGTGAGTGTCAACAGAGTGAATGATTCCAGGGTTCTTATCTGAGTTCTGAGGGGGAGTGTCTGATGCCGGTTTCGTGGAACAGCTTCCAAGGAGTCGTTGGAGGATCGCGGGAGAACCAGAAGGTAAGTCTTTTTAGGAGAAAATCGTATGGAGAGTCCAGAACAGTCCATAGGAGTGAACGGTAGACCGGACAGTGAGTGACTGATGTGTGTGTATTTGTAGTGTGGCTTGATTGGTGACAGCAGGTGATTAGAACTCAGGTGATTATCCTGGCTGGTGACTGCAGTGACTGTGATGAATCCCTGACATTACC